CGTGTCCACGAAAACTGTAAAATAGTTGAAACATCGGACATAATAAAATGAAAAACAATAAAAATGAGATCAAGCTGTAAAAGTAGAAACGGATAAAAATTATGTTTTGGTATCAAGCCCGTAATCTAAAAAGGGTCTCTAATCTAAATTTGGTAGTTTAAAACATGCAGAAGGGGTATTCAATAGAAATTAGGTGGTAGATAGTTCGCATAGGTAGACTGATAGTAGCTAGCATTTATGTTGGGTACATAATCCATAGACACAGCCCACTGAGTTTCTCGCCGGATCTTCTCAGTCAGAGCACTGCTCTTACTAGGGTCAGTGTTAGTAACACTCCGGTTTGAGCCCCATGAGATCACCTACTAGTTAAGGTTACGCTGATATAGCCTCTCAAGGCTATCAGCTTAGGTAGGGAAAAAAAAAGTTGGGTACACAGCACGTCACACGTGTCGATAAGGCGAGCGATGTTAACCCTGGCTGGATGGGTTTATTAATCTTACAAGATTTCTTGAAAATCTTATAAGACGCCGGATGCCCGTCTCTGGCGATTACTCGTGCCGATCCGAAACAGTCAATGTAAGGTCCTAAGGTGAACACAGATAAATACTGTTTGTTACATGGTTTCGGGACGCGGGCCGGGCGTTTGGTCATATAAGTTATTATTTTAATCTTAAATCTATAGAGAAACTAGCTGACCCGGCAAACGTTGTGTTGCCGACCAGTAGTCGACCGGCCAGGGCGGGAGATCAAATGGAATTTAAGAAAATCATAATTAAAGGAACTTGAAATTATAAACTCTGAATAAGAATTTATCGTACTACAATTATAATATTTGATTGCCATCTTGCAACCTTATTGCGGATCTGTGCATAGAATAAAAAAAATAAAAATCGGGATGGAAAAATAGGGGTTGATCCTATAAGAGTGAAAATTGAGAGTAATATGATTTTTTTTCATTTTAAGTTATGACAAAATAAAAAAAAAAACTTGCTAAAAAAATTAAAGTTTATAATTAACAAATAAAAAATCGGGGTTGATCATAGAGGGATGAAAAATTGAGAGTAACATCAGATTTTTTATTTTAATTCATGACAAAGTAAAAATAAAAATGAAATCTTGCGAAAAATATTAAAGTTTATAATTAACAAATAAAAAATAGGGGTTGATCGTAGAGTGGTAAAATTTTCAGAGTAATATGATTTTTTTAATTCTAAGTCATGACAAAATAAAAACAAAATTCTTGCTAAAAAATTTAAAGTTTTTAATTCATCATCATCAGCCTGCGGCAGTCCACTGCTGGACATAGGCCTCCCCCAAAGCTCGCCACTGAACCCGATCTTCGGTTCTACGCATCCAGTTACTGCCAGCTGCCTTGCGCAGGTCGTCGCTCCATCTAGCAGGAGGGCGTCCTACACTACGTTTGCCGGTTCGCGGTCTCCACTCCAGAACACGTCTACCCCGACGGTTATCGGTTCTGCGACTTATGTGACCAGCCCACTGCCACTTCAGCTTACTAACTCTGCGAGCTATATTGAATACTTTGGTTTTTGCCCGAATGACCTCATTGCGTATTCGGTCTCGCAATGACAAACCGAGCATAGCTCGCTCCATAGCTCGCTGAGTAACTTTTAGTTGGTGGACTAGTCGCACAGTCAGTGTCCACGTTTCGGCTCCGTAGGTAAGCACGGGTAGGACGCACTGATTATAGACCTTTGTCTTCAGACATTGTGGTATGGGCGACGAAAAGACCTGACGAAGCTTCCCGAACGTTGCCCAGCCCAACTGAATCCTTCTGGTCACCTCCTTCNTGTTATGTTATGCCCCTCACACTAGTACCTAAGTCATATATGAATTCTCATAAACACATAATGTACTCTAACTCTTAGTTCTTAAGTTCTAAATCATTGTTACTATATAACATACTTATTTCCTCATGTTACTAAATCATATGTATATTGTTTACTTTACTTCAGATCTTCATTTGGAATTAGAACATTTGTTAATATTGTATTCCTTTCACATTGGTAAAATTCCGTCATTTACTAATTATGTCCTTACGGATTCTAAATATGTTTACCAATAAGGTTCATAGTCTAAATGACTCATTTGCTAATTGTTTAGTAAATACTATTCTTGTATAAATTCTCTTTCTCCTTGAAACTTAGGAGTTCGTCATCAATCTTCAAGCTCATAACATCGTAACTCTGTCCGTGTAACATCAGATTTTTGTAAAGGATAAATAAATTCAGTGTATATTAAAATAAAGTTTTTTTTAAAACTACAAAACCGCTCACCGCGTAACACAATGTGCTTAGTGCGAGTTTTTTAACGTTCCCGATAGCATAAGCGTTATCTTGAGTTTGTATGCATTTTGAACAGCGCCCCTAGCAGTAAACGTAGGCAAAGGTTAACTTTAACGCTATCGAGAACGTTAACAAACTCGCACTAAGCACACAGGTCAGGGGAACATGAGTCATTGTTTTGATTAGAAGACTCGTGCCCAGCCGTCTCGAGTTTCTTGATAACATCTGTCCGTCTGTGCGCTATTGAATCAAGCGTTTTTACAATCTAGTAGACAATTGTTTTATTATGACTATTGCATAACACATTAACAATAACTCGACTGGGCCGAATAGCAATAATCGCACGGATGAGCAAACATTAAAAGACCACTCGGATTAGGTTTTGTTTACGTTTTATAACTTTTCAAATCTAAATTAATGTTTGGCTTTGGCCTGGCTTCATAATAACGAAATGTATTTTTCGTTAATTGAATTTACCGTTACATTATTTGCTCGTAAACTTGACGGTGGCGTGGGAGTAAAATTTAATTTTGAAATGAAAAGTCCATTTTCGAGCACGTCTTGTTTAAATTAGTTTGTTGCTTATTCTTTTTTAATAACCGCAAGAGGCAGATCGGCTTAAAGAACTATGCGCCACTTAATATTAAGATGCGACTAGAATCCATGGATATATTTTCCCTACCTATTCACTGGTAGCCTAAGAGGTTATTCTAGTTACGCGCGGACGGGTAGGTGAGCTCACGGGCTCAGCCTGAGAGAGTTTGCTAACACTATCCCTAGTAAGAGCAGTGCTTCGCAGAATCTACCACTGGGTCGGAATCGCGACCCACTCAGGAGATCCGGCGAGAAACTCAGTGTACTGTACCTATGAGTTAGTTTGTTCGTCGTAATCGACGAGTTCGACGAGGAGCATGGTATACCAACATGATTACCACTATACCATGGTACCTTGCACCCTTGAGACGTTAGATCAAACTCCACGCTGCTCTATAAACGCACGATTGCTTAATGTCGAAAATAACAGTGATCATGATTAAAGAGCTAACAAATTAAGATTGGAGTATTTTTTTATTTTTTTTATTGTTTAGATGGGTAGACGAGCTCACAGCCCACCTGGTGTTAAGTGGTTACTGGAGCCCATAGACATCTACAATGTAAATGCACCACCCACCTTGAGCTATAAGTTCTAAGGTCTTAGTATAGTTAGAACGGCTGCCCCACCCTTCAAACCGAAACGCATTACTGCTTCACGGCAGAAATAGGCGGGGTGGTGGTACCTTCCCGTGCGGACTCACAAGAGGTCCTACCACCAGTGAGTGTGTGGATTACCGGGTTATTTTTTACTTGGATGAGGGAATGAACTTGCAATCCAATTACAGTTCTACTGAATTAACTGACTGAACTGAGTATAGCAACTAACTAAGTAGTCAGGATGATGGCTTCTCTATAGGCTTACAATATTAACAACAAAGCTCTCTGATTATCATACTGCAGCAGCATACTGTGATCGCCATCTGGCGTTTACTGGTGGGAGGGCGTATTGTGAATCGGGTAGGTACCATAATCCTTCAGAGGAGGTTTGGCTCGAGACGAAAAAAAAGGCAACACTATCCTTCCTATTTCTATCGTGATGCAGTCATCCGTCCCAGATTCTTGGAACAGCTTCAATGAAATACAATTGAGACTTCATCCCAAGGTGGGTGGCGACATTTAAGCTGTGATATCTATGGGCCCAACCATTTAATAACAGGCAGGCCGAGAGCCCGTTCGCCGATGCAATAAAAAACTACCTGCCAGTAACTTTAATGGGAATTATTTGATTCAATACCCCTACTATTCGCTCTCTTTTAATCAATTAACTTTTTGAGAACTCGGTCAAATATATTAAAGAAAACACCATTAATTGACAAAATAAAGACAAACAAAGAATATTCCCGGACAAACTCTTCTGTAAATTCGTGAAATATAAAAGATTTTACTTCCAGGGGTATTTTTTTTAATTTGTCGGCCCTCGTCGCCTTTTGACCTTCCCTTCAGTGGAATTCTCTCATAATATTTATGTGACAATGACTTTTCAGATAGAATTACAAGTCCTCCGTAAAAAAACGTTTGGGGTTCAAATATACGGAAAGGACTGTTAATTTTAGAAAGACCAATGAAAACGAGGTACTTGTGACTAGCCGGTTTTTTTGTCGTACAATTAAAAAAACTGTGACTGATATAATTATCTAGGATGTACCAGTAGTCTTTTACTAATATGTTTGGAACGTTGATTAAGAAAAAAAACTATATAAATGAATTCAAAAATTATTTAAAAAAAAAAGCAAAAAAGCTATCTATAATAGAACAATCCAATACACAGCTTTTTTTCTCATTGTATTTATTTTACATTAAATTGAAATTTACATTAACTTAAAGAGTTGTGGTTCTGTCAACCAATGTTTAACAACAGTTAAATTCACTATTGTAATGGTATAGTTCAATAAAGGAAAGTGTAATTGTGAGCTCATCAGTAGAAAATACGTGAAGCTATTCCGAAGATTTTGAACCTCAAAATCGAACTAACCTTTGACAAATATTTGACATGTAGTCAATAGTTTTTATGACACAATATTGTATAACCACAAAACGTCAATAAATTATTTTCTTTACATTAGCATATAGTTAATACTATTTATCTACTTTACAAATAAAATTATGATAAGACAAACATTGATAAGTCGAACTCCAGTGATATTATTTTCGAAGGACAGGAACAGATGCGCATGGATTTCAATTGTTGTGATCATTCAATGTAAAGCTATCTTTCAAAACTTACGCGCTCCAACGTTAATATAGATATGTCTCAACCAGTGATACAGGGTGTGAAGTAGATGAAAGTTTTACTATCGCACCTCCCGCCACCGGAGCTGAGAACATCCATACTATTTAGAACCACTGTACTCATCCGTAGGCCGTTTCCAAAGATCATTTTGCAATGTACCATTTAACTCTGAAATGAACTCCTCCCAACGGTATTTTCCGATCGCTATCACATACTCCGCTTCAAGCGAGGCTTGCAGATTATACTTAGTCGTGTTTAGTGACTTGGTATCCCTGGCATTGCTAACATAACTGAACGACAGTAACCACTCACGATCAGGTGGGCCGTACACTTGTCTACCCACAAAAGCCATAAAAATAAAGTCACTGGTTTGTACATACTCTGTATGCTTTACTTTCAAACAAAATATCATTTAAACAACTTGAGTATAGCAAAAATAACCATGGAAATCTTCCAAAACTTTTTCCAGGCTTTTTAGTTTACCTTGGAGCAGCTACGATTATCTACTGCGTTTGGTCTCCAGACAATGCGACTTTGGACTATGACATACTGGCCCGGATAATGTACCTTTACGACTCTGAAACTTGTGGGTACAATCTTCGAGCATCTAAAGGCTTGACCAATATCCGTCTAAGCAACGACACAAAAGGATTCAATGTGAGACCTATCAAATGGAGTCCCGCTATAGTTACTGTATCTACAAGATTATCTGCAAAAACTAGAAAGTAATTTGAGTTTTGCTCTTTAATCTATAAGCATTAGAGTCCAGTCCAACTTAAAGTCTTCTAAGATGTCTGGTGCATTCGTATCTACCGATGCATCGGTGTTCGAATCCCGCCAGCAGGTTTTTTCCAATGCAATACGTGCTTAACAAATGTTCACGATTGACTCCCACGGTGAATGAATAACATCGTGTAATAAAAATCAAACCCGAAAAATTATATTTTGCGTAATTACTGATAGCAGGACGTCCTGTGAGTCCGCACGGGTAGGTACTACCACCCCGCGTATTTTCTGCCGTGAAGCAATAAGGCGTTTCGGTTTGAACGGCCGGGCAGCTGTTGTACTGTTAAAAGTGAGACCTTAGAACTTTTGTCTCAAGGTGGGTGGCGGCCTTTACGTTGTAGATGTCCCTGGGCTCCGGTAACCACTTCACAACAGGTGGGCCGTAAGCTCGTCCACTTATCTAACCAATACGAGGGCGGCACTGAAAATTTCGGGAATTAACGAAGTGACACAACATTACTATTTAAAAATGTATTTATTGCTTTTCGAAGTATTCTCCGCGAAATTTGACACATTTTTCCAAACGATGGAACCAATCATTGAAGCAACCATTCCATTCGGAAGTTGGGGTCTCCAAAATGGCCGTTTTGTAGGCGTCCACAGCTTCTTCAGGTGATGAAAATTTCTGTCCACGCAATTTATTCTTTATTTTAGGGAAAGTATAGAAATCATTAGGGCTTAGGTCGGGGCTGTACGGCGGATGGTCTAATAATTCTATGTTTTCTTGCTCTAAAAACTCTTTTGTTCTGTGCGCGGTGTGAGAACTCGCAATGTCGTGATGGAGGATGATGCGGCGGTTGCAGTTCTCTTTACGGAGTTCAGAAACGACCTGTGGCAAACAAATTCTAGCATACCATTCTGCATTAACCGTTCTTTGTCCCTCAAGAGGAATAGTCGTAACATGGCCGGTTTTGGAGATAAACGTGGCCACCATTTTTTTTTGCAACACTCCGTGAACGAACAATTTTTCTTGGCTTTAACTCATTTTCGAACACCCAAACTCGTGACTGGTTTTTTGTTTCGGGTTCGTACGCGTATATCCAGGATTCGTCACCTGATACAATGTTATATACAGTATTTGAGGATCCTGCGTGGAATCTTTCGAGAGTTCTGACGCACCAAGTAACGCGAGCCGCTTTTTGCTCTTCACAGACCGAATGCGGTATCCATCGGGAAAACAACTTTTTTACACCTAATTGTTCATGCAAGATTATTTGTATTTGACTCATGCCAATGTCTAAAGTTGCCTGAATTTCGCGGTATGTCACATGTCGATCTTCCTCAATCAGCTTACGCACAGCATCAACGTTTTCTTGGGTGACTGCAGTTTTTGGACGACCTTGACGGGGATCATCACTGAGCTTGACACGTCCACGTTGAAACTCAGCAAACCAGCGATAAATTGTGGTTTTGGATGGGGCTTCATCACCAAATGCAGAAATCATCCGGTCAACACACTGTTTTTGTGTTAAACCACTTCGAAAGTCATAATAAATCATCGCTCTTGAATTTTCTCGAGTCAATTCCATTTTCTCAACGACTAAACAAGTTTGACAAAACCTCGTGACAAGACCGAGAATCTTTTTTAAATAAATAAATGGTATTCGATTTTTAAAATCAAGGAGTTTTCAATTAAAAAGATTTTAATATAACAGGAACAGTGGAAATATTCCATTACCGATACTTTTAGTGCAGCCTAGAATAAAAATTTTTAAAAAAGTTCAGTTATAAATTTTCATCTACATCCATTTATTGATTGATTTCTGTTCACAGATACGTAAATTTTAGCTTTGGTGTTCATTTAATATGGAACGTAACTGCTCTAGCCCTCGTCATGTTTACGAGAGGCAGTTCGAAAATAAAACATACAAAGTACGCCTTGGCGACTTTCTTCTACATCACATCCTTGATTACCGTCTGTGACATATCAATAGCAATAGTCTACATCGCTGATATCCAACAGAGCTTAACTAAAGGCATGATCATAAGATACAGCGGTTGGAGCATGGAGGTTAAACTTAGAAATTACGACGACTTTGGCGGTTGGTTGCCTATAATTGCCTCAATATGCTGGCTCAGGGGTATCGTCATTCTAATCTTCAACGTGTACATGTGCAAATTGATTTACTCCATCAGAAATAAAATTAGGATGAAAGAAGTTGGTAAACGCGCGAAATTCAGAAGCAACTTTCCGATTCCCGATGCTAAAACCAATTTGCCAATAGATACAAACGTTTTGTACTACAGACGAGGCGAGGAAATGCCATTTGTTATGAGAGACACAATTCAAAACGTATTCTATTAAAATGATTTTGGCAATAATTCTCTCTTTTATTCAAATATCTTGAACGTAACGTTTTTGTGTCGAAACGCTAAGGAAATTGAATTCGGATCGTTCGTCGGACATTGCTATTAAAATTTTGATTATCACATCGTCTGGAGGGAGAGGCCATTAATTTTAGACTTTAACCTGTAATCGAAACAGGGACAGGCCAATCTCGGACGCCAAATTAGTTCACGGCCCACTTGAAATTGTTTAGCCCCAGCAGATTGTCATTGAAACGTATTTTGATGAAGATTCAGTAAATTTATTCGGCTGAAATGGATTTTGTTCAGCGAAATGAGTAGTCTAGCGTTCTGGAGCATGATCGCCATTTTAATACAGAGTTAGTCAATTACTAATATTAATTTGGTACAAGGTTTTCAGATCAAGGAAAGGTACTCTTGAATTTTTCATAGGAGTTTTTGACGATTTCCTAGCTATAGCTTACCTCGTGGTACCGTGCGAGCCTTCTTCAATAGAGCTTCAGCTGTCTTCCATGTACGTTAGCTGTAGTGTATCCCTAATGCTCATAAATCTACCAGTTTTTTACGAGCGAAACTTGAAACAATTCATTTAAATTAAAAAAAAATCTCTTTGTCACATCCCTATTCTTAAAAACGATTTAGTTGAATCCAATACTGTGTACACTCGCAATTTTCAATTACATTAAGTGCACCTACTCCTCAAATTTTTGTTTTATTGTCCAAAACACAATACAAGATAATAATATTTCCAGTTTATCTTTCAAGTTGTGTGTTTGAACATCTTATGATGTCCATATTATGATAGAATTATTTAGCACCTGGTGAACTGTAAGCTATTCAGCTGGGTCACAAAAAGCTCTATCATAAAACTGGTTGTGGTCCATTCATTGTGTACAAAGAGTGAAACAGATATGACTTCCATATCTTGGTATTTATATATGGTGCTCTGGTAACTCATTAAAAATATCGGAGCCATCATGTCATCAACCTAAAGTAATGTTACGCCGGTAAGAGTAACGCCACCTATCGCCGAATAGTAGAACGAATATCGAAGGATCTAGTAGCACCTTGAACGCTCGAGAAGTACAACGCCATCTATTGCCAGATAGCGGAAACAATACCAGATATGTATGGAATATTCTCGATAATTGTAGGGATTAGGTATCGACTATAAAAGCGTTGCAGGAATGGCACGCAGTCATTCAGTAATCGGAACTACTCGAAGCGAAACAAGAAAAGGATCACCTGAAGCGAAGCGGAAGAAGCGAATTGAGAGTTTTAAAGGCTTTGTTGAGTGTTTTAATTGTTGAAAACAGTTTTAAGTTATACTTTGGTGGAACATTTATTTATCCCCAACCCCAGCGCGTAACAATAATTACAAACCTGAAATTGTTTCAGCAATAGTCTGTTTGATATTAACCTGGCCAACCCTCGTCTGCACGTATTCACCTAACATTGAAGATCTCAGTGAGGCTACCCTTATTAAAGTACTATATCTATACGACCCTGTCGCCTGCAATCGAGTTTACTTTTATAATTACACAGTCCTTTTCAACGGTACAAGCTATAAGACCATATTTTGGATATCCGAAAACAAAATAGCAGCGGATTTCAGAAGGTAGGTAATTGTTTTTTGAAGTGAAACTTCTAATGCGACTTCCAACAACGTTGCTTTTTTTCTACCTAAGCTGATAACCTTGAGAGGCTATTTCAGCGTAACCTTAACTAGTAAGTGAGCTCACGGGGCTCAAACCTGACGACCTTGCTAAAACGAACCCTAGCAAGAGCCGTACTTCGCAGAATCTACCACCGGATCGTAAACGCGCTCCACTGAGAAGATCCGAAATGACGTGTTTGGGGCGACGTCGACTGCTTTCCATTCTGTCCGTAGGATCGGGAATATAGCTACCGGCGGCCACGATGAGAGGGTTCTCGTGTCGTGCCACTTTATCAAAATGGCGCACAAGGTTGCGTTAAACATTTAACGCTACCATACTAAAAAGATACAAAGCGAAAGTGAATGCGTTGCACTCGAGCACATGCGCGTAGTATACCTGTTACAGGCTAGCGCGAGCGTAAGCAACGAGTAACGGCCAATATTTTAATGAAGCACATATTTCAAAAAATATACATATTTATTTTTATATCTATAATTTAAAAAATATATAATATAATTGTTGAGTATGTGGCATCTCTTATACACAGCATTCTCTATTACAAGAGTGATTTAAGGATGAAAAATGAAGAAAACCATAATACTATACATCGAAAAAGAAGTTTCAATTCATTCACGTGCACCAAGTTGCACGCGCATCGTTTGTTTTTAGTGGAAAAATCTATAAAGATCTTTTTTCTTATTCCCCTTGTAGGCAGACGAGCATATGGCCCACCTGATGGTGAGTGGTTACCGTCGCTTATAGACTTCAGCAATGCCAGGGGCAGAGCCAAGCCGCTGCCTACCTGATATTTATAACGCTCGTTATCTATTAGAGTATTACTGAAATTAACCGAAAAAAAAATCTTTCACAGCAAAACCAAGGCTTGGATAACCCTCCACATATTTTGGTTTATACTCAGCATCGTAAATTTGATTGAAAGCACTCGATCCCGACTCTCGCACTTCTCTCTGCTGCCCTTCACCGTAGTCGGAACGGCAATGATCGCTGTCGACGTGATTTACGCTATTTTGTTCTTGGTTGATGTTGGCTACACCGGGAATCAAGGTATCGTAGGAATACTAATCGTTCTATAGTGGTTAGGCTACTCACACACGACTTAACGCCACATCGTACGATGCCTACGTGACGTTTTGACCCGGCCAGTATTAATGTCAATTACATGTGATTACTTTCATGCCCTCCATAGGTTAGGGCCCCGTGAGCTCACCTACTCGCCCGGTGAATCTAGTATGACCCTTCGAGGTTACCAGAATAGGTATGATATATAGGTATGACTGCGCAAGATTTTTGCGCCTAAAGTATAACTGCGCAAGCTCTTTACGCGATAGGTATGACTGCGCAAGCTCTTTACGCGATAGGTATCACTACGCAAGCTCTTTACACGATTACCCACCCTGCACACAATGTCAAGAAATAATGAAGATATCGGTCCATTCTGCGACATAATATATATATTCATATAATATATATATTCATGCAGTGCACTTTGTAAAATTGACCTGAACAATACAAGTAAACAAAACCTCGGCATTGTTTATCTTCCGGGCACCGCTTCACGTCAGATCTGTTTCGAACAATATTTACCAAACGGTAAGCTGCAAAGTGCCTGAAGCCCTAATACAAATAAAATAAATAATAACGAAATAGAATCTACAAACCTAATAATTTATTTCTGGGTATTTTATTTTAAACAACTAACGTTGTTTAGTTTAGGTCAGACGAATTTTTTAATATTTCAACTTATGGTTTCGCAACCATTTTAATCTTTGTAACAGGAAAAGATCATTCCATCGACATTCTTCCTAGTCGTACACACTTGATAGAGTGGTCGTGGTCATGCTAAAGTGGGATCCTGCGATACCGATGCTCTCGCGATGCGACGCCATGTGGCACGGTGTTTCGCAGATTTTATGAGATCGGTCCGTCGTGTTGGAGATCCTCCGCGAGATCTTTTGCCCTCGACTTACCCTTGCACCAACAACCGCTCAATGGAGTCCTCATTATGAGCGATGCGCTCGAAAATGATCGACCATCGGCATTAAAGACACAAGAATCTTACGTGTATACCTAAAGCACCGGGGCATGTAGAAAGGGAATTGAAGAGTACTACAGTCGTATTTCAGTGCTTTTTTTTATTGCTTAGATGGGTGGACGAGCTCACAGCCCACCTGATGTTAAGTGGTTACTGGAGCCCATAAACATCTACAACGTAAATGCGCCACTCACCTTGAGATATAAGTTCTAATGTCTCAGTATAGCTACAACGGCTGCCCCACCCTTCAAGCCGAAACGCATTACTGCTTCACGGCAGATATTGGCGGCAGAATATCTCTATTCTGCCGCCAATATCTGCCGTGAAGTCATGAGGCGGGGCGACGTCCATGTCTATGGGTTCCGAAAACTTTATCTAGGCCGCAGATGAGTATCCGCCTATCCAAAATAATAAGAAATATAAATGACTTAGTTCCAAAAAGTAATAGGTAAATACCTTACGATCAGTGCGCGAAATAATTTCATAATTTAATAACCGCATTAACTGAAGTGAAGAAATCGTCAATAAAACAGTACTTTAATTACTAGACTCAATTATTTCCCGATAAATGTTCCAAGTACATATTATCTCGAGTGATCTGTAAGTTTATCCAATTTTATATACCACATTTCAAAACTTTAATCAATGAAAGATAACAGAAAAAAAAACGTTTTTCACTGCGCTATGTCTTGAAAACTAAATTATTTCCTGTTAAAATTAGTTATGATTACTTAAAATTTTAATTTATTGAATAAATAATAATAAATAAGACGCCATCACAGTTTAAATTCCTGATAGCTCGGTTTTAAATTATCTTCCCTTTGGTAAAATACTCCTGTTTGAAAGGCATCAACACGTACATACATATATCTCAGTATAACTATTCATCAAAGAGCCAGTCAACTCGGCTAATCCCCGGCGGACATCTTGTACCATCGACGCCGCAATAATTGCCATCGCTTTTGATACCTTTGACAGCCGGTACCCATTCAATCCTTGATAAATGCTACTAGCTTATGCTTCATCGCATATTTTGAGGCTTGGAAATCTCCTCGGATACGGAACTGTCTATTTGAACTTAGAACCTTTGCAAGCTATGATGGCTTTTAAAAATTCACTTGAATTTTTATTAACTAACTTTTATGAGGGATTTTTGATACGTATTAAATTTTTTTATCTAGCTTGGTGTTTGTTATCATATTTTCATTTATTTATTGCGTAGATAGGTTAATGATCACACAGCCCGAGTTCTGTCTTAGCGAGATTCGACTGTTAGGAATTGAGCCCTTACACGTGGGGTGTAGGGATGAAGTGCAGAAAACTTATCTATTCGAAACCCATCTTTGGGTTTTGAGTTTTTTACCGCAGCAACACTGGACGTGAATTGACGGGACATTCGTTACTTGACATCTGTCACTTCAAGGTTAGCAAGATAGATTCGCGGATCGGCCGCGCTGCCACGGCGTATCTCATCATCCCCTACTGTCCCTTCCATATCCTCACCCTGAAACCTCCCCTCCTAAGGCGCCATAGGACGAGGTCATCGGTTCGTGGTGAGTGATTAGTCAATCTATTAAGAAAATACATCACGGCACGTTTTCAACAGGCCCCTCGTGCTGGTTTCCGAAGCCCTAGGCTACCACGAAGAATCTGGATTCAGATTGAATGCCCATCTTGCCCACCTAATACAAATTGTATACCTAATCATATATTTCCGTAATCTGTTAAAAAATCGAAATATCTCGTATTCTTTCAGCTTCGATATTGGAATATATTGACGGCCAAGAGAAACACGTACATAGCTTCAACAAAGATAATATATCCACTAAATATGACAGAAGCGACACATCCTGGATAGCTTTGCTGATGGCTTACGTCAGCATTAGGGGCGTCGTAGTGGAAGTCTTCAATTTTTGGATCGTCAAAGACAACTACTTTGCTGCAGTGGCTCAGAGACGTTAGTATCTTTATGCTCAAAATAGACGAAATCTTCATGGCCAAAAAGATAAGGCAGTGCGACCTTGGCAGGTCAGATGCAATGGTTCAAATACAAGCATTTTTTAATTTTGTAATACCGAATGAAAGAAAGAAAGTTTCACCAAAGAAATAATAACATCGCATCATAAGAACCTAAACCAATTATGTTTCTTTTATAAATTGTGCGGAATTACTGGCTGTAGATCGTATTGTGAGGTAGGTAATATTTATCTCACCCTGCTTATTTCTCATAAGAAGCAATGCTTTGTGTTGCTAAATAAATTATAGGTTTTTTTCAATGATGACAAGCAGCGGCTTGACTCTGCCCCTAGTATTGCTGAAGTCTATGGGCGACGGTAACTACTATATGTTAACCGGTATGCTCGTCTGCCTACAAGGGCAATAAAAAAAAAGGTGATGACAAGTATTTACCGTCGCTCGTAAGCACTAGCAAGTTCATGACGCACCAGAGGGACTCTTTACTAAAGATCAATTTTAAGATTCTTTTTAAAGTAATCTGCGTCATACTTTTGTACTCTTTCAGGTAAACCGCAACGACGTAAAAACAGTAACTTCTCTAAAGCCTCATATTACTCTTATATTTATGCTTAATGATCATTATTTCACAAGCAAGAGCAAGAGTCCACCGGGAAGCGGCCATCTATCGAATCCGAAGCTGTTTATTTATGTATTTTATCACCACGACGTTTTAATATAAAGATAAGCAGACATAGTTACGGTTGTTATGAAAAACTAAAAAACTACCGCTTTTTCCTGCTTTTTCTTTGACAAAGTAACGATAAGTTCTGATCAAGCAAACAAGCAAGATAACAAGAGCAGTGCTTCGCAGAATCTACCACCGGATCGGAATCGCGACCCACTGAGAAGATCCGGCGAGAAGCTCAGTGGGATGTGTCTGAGGTTTACTTCGCTCGTCAAACTCTTCAACGACGAGTTTGACAAGGACGGTGACTTGCTTTCATCAAGTCTCAAACTATGCCAAAACAAATCGATTCTCGAACATTCATTAATTGATTTCCATTTAGCACATCTAAACGCTTCACTTTTCCCCCTTTGCCTCTTCATGAGTTCTGTCTCATGCGAGGTTTGGACGTTGGTTGTTGAGCGACAGGAGGTTTTAGTCAGTTCGACTCTGACATGCTCCGCCCTCTATCCCCAGTGGAGGGCGGAAGTCCGGCGATTTCCTCCGTTAATATTACTATAACTACCACGTGAATGTTTAGATTAATTTTATGTTACTTTATATAATTATGTACATATATTATATTAACGGTGTGCTATATTAGTACTGGTATACTCTGTACTGGTATTATATGGATTTTTTTATTGGTTTTGTTAATTATTCTTGTGAAGACGATTAAAAATACCTCTCTGGTTTTTGGCATTGTCAACTCGAGAGCTCGATCGAGAGCTTCGTCTACTTGCTAGTGCAATTAAAAATATCAATCTATTTTTGAACCAAAGGTTTCAATGTAGGCCGTTCTTCATTTAAGGATATTCTCTCCGCTGAATGGGGTTGCAATTAAACTCGGCCATATTCCGAACGGCGCAATTAAACACAGACGCGGGTAGTTTCATTAATGAACTATAACACTGTATACCTATCTTACCTATTTCTGCTACGTAGCATTTGTACGTTCTGATCCAGAGATTAGAACAGACGAATATTGTTTTGAGAGTAAGGTTTTTTATTTATTGTTTTAATGGGTGGATCTGGTGTTAAATTGTTAACGGAGCCCATAGATATCTACAACGTAAATACGGCCACCCACTTCGTGACATGAGTTCTTAGGTCTCCGTTTTTACATTACAACGGCTGCCCCACCCTTCAAACCGAAAAGCATTTCTGCTTCACGGCATGAAATAGGCGGGACAATATCTACCCGTGCGACTCACAAGACCTACTACCACTAAAATGTCGTACTAAAATTACGTGTCTCAATGTGAACAGCGGTTTGCTTTAAGAAATCTGCCAGCATCGGTAAGCACTTAAAAATAAGTGGATCGTTTTTCTTGTCCTTCAAACGCAGTAAAAGGTTGTCATCTAGTGATTTAGTTGTCACCTCGAGCTTATAGCTCACTAGATAAATGGTTTTCAGAGCCTATAGAACAACCCTGAAAATGCTCACCATGATACATGAGACGGTATTCTCAATTGTATTGTAATGACAGCTGAACTAGCCTCCAAATGGACTCTCTAGGGTGCTTCCCGGAAGAATTGTCTATATAATAATTACACAAATACTCGCAATTATATTGCTTTGTTGTGAAAATCGTGAAACCTAACCTAGAATTCAAACAATGTTATAATTGTACCACTTGATATGGACGCGTCTTGTTAAAATCACATTGAATAAAACTGAACTGAATTCATTATTTATTTATGTGTGGAATCTTTCGAATCTGCATACCAACGTAGGAGGTGTACAAACAAATAAAACCGATACGGTTTTTGTTCCATTAGCATATTTTTATTGTCAATACATTATATCCGATAAAGATCCCAAACGTTCCCTCAAGGTCTGAAGACAATCAAGGGCGCTGGCTCCCTGAACTGTAGTCTGGCGGAATACTTCATATTCTGAATGTCATTCTCCGTCATGAATTCCACTCTCTGCAGCTGTCCGTTGGGTAACAAAACGAAGTATGAACCAACACTCTTTTGCACCTCCACTGGGCCCTCCAATCTCTCAGCCTGAGGGTTGTCAGTCGTGGGAGCATCGGTTGCCGGTGCTCCATAGGCGTTGTCCGGTACTCCGTAGCTGGTTGCTGGAGGTGATTGCTGTTTCGGTAACACAAAAACAGGCCCGTCAGGTTTCCATCCCGACGGTGGGTATGGCCCGCTTTGGTCAGCAGTTTCTTCAGGTGGTCCGTAGCTATCAGTGGGAGTTTCGTTAGGTAATGTGAAAGGTGCCCCGGTCGGTTTCCATCCAGATGCTGGGTACGGCCCTGATGGTTCAGTAGTGGCTTCCGTCGGTGAATCTGTCGTGGTCGGTGCCAATTCCTGACGCTGGAGTCTGAACCTCGCGGGTCTGTAGCGAGGCAGCTCAGCGTAGACACCGGCGACGATCAATATAACAATAAGAAACTTCATTGTTGATTGAAAATGATTGACTGATGCTGTTCAATAATCAGCCGTTCGTTTTATAGTCTGATAGATATTTTATGAGTCTTTGTTCGTCATAAATGGTATCAGGTTGTGAGAAGAGATGTTGGTAAGCTGGTCACGTAGTTGGACAGTGACATTGGTCACGTTGGCATTGTAGCGCCATGAATGAACGGTCAATGTCGTCGGTAATGATTAGACGACACACTTATATATTAATTAATTACATATATAAGACTAAGTTTTTCATTCGTACTCACTTGCTTTCTTATAATTTTAAAGTTTTTTTTATTGCTTTGATGGGTGGACGAGCTCACAGCCCATCTGGTGTTAAGTGGTTACCGGAGCCCATAGACATCTATAACTAATGCGCCACCCACCTTGAGATATAAGTTCTAAGGTCTCAGTATAGTTACAACGGCTGCCCCGCCCTTCAAACCGAAACGCAGGCAAGGTGGTGGTACCTACCCGTGCGGACTCACAAGAGGTCCTACCACCAGTTTCATTCACTTGCTTTCTTATTATTTTGAAGTAAAACTTCTTTAGGCGCGTTGAGAGCAAACTTTATCTCGCGACAGATTCGTTACGGCTAGAGAGAAAGGATACAGAACGAGCGAACGAGACCATAAAGAAAACAACGAGTAAGAGTAAGAAAATAGACAGAGCGTCTCGCAAACCACTCAACCTTGGAGAGAGAGATAAAGTGAGCTAGGTCGTTTCTCTTATACACAGCATTCCCTATTACAAGAGAAATTTGATTTAAGGATGAAAAATGAAGAAAACCACTGTACTACACACTGTGAAGAAGTTTCACTTCTTTCACGAGCATCTAGTCGCAGGCGCATCATTTTTTTTATACTACGTTATATGAGTCGTCTATTATCAAAGCCGGCAATCTGACTTTTGAACAATATTGGTAAATCAGAAAAACGAATTATTGGCTTTGTATTCCATTGGCAGTCACAAAACTCTTCGGAACGACATCTTAGATAAATAACAGGTTAACTATTAACCTTTATTTAATGCAGGTTTTAAACCGTATTCTTTGTAGGAGACGATTATATTCAAATCAATCTGTATTGACATATCAATAACATTTTTTTTGTCCAAATGCACAGATTGCCACCTTTGATAATAGACGACTCATATGTTCGTGTCGTCACCCCCGGTGCCGACTGCACACCGCATTCTGTTTGAGTGTCACTAGCACTATATTGAACTTGGGTTGGATTTATAGTTAAAAAAAATAATCAAATAGTTATATTTGTTAAAGCCTAAATAAGCCTTAAAGTTAAAATTAGTTAAAGCCATATTATTTTTATCATGAATAATTTTAGTTGCATGCTAATTTCTGTAGTTATACTTTAATAAAAATCTTTAAATTAATGCGTGAAGCAAAAACTGTGTACAACTGTGAAGGAAAAAAGCCCTATCAAAAAACTATTGTCCCCATACGTAAACTGATTCACCACAAAGCCAAGGTGAATCGGGTCAAGCTAGTTTTTTTTCAGTTTTTCTGTATATTTTGTAATGAACTATGTATAAAACGCATCGTATATAAAATTTTAAGCCTCCGGAACGATTTTAATCTCAATTTTATTAGTATTACCCTAAGAAAAACCATTGAAAATTTGTGTTGGCTTAAGAAAGGGTCCCGATTCCCCCCAATTTACGGTAGGTAAGTAAATTAGTAACATGAGATTGGTAGTCAATTAAAACTATTTTTCCCGGCTTAATCTCCCGTTTTTTGCTTTCCATTACTTCTAACGTTTCGGATACTTTACAGTTTTCGTGGTCACGGAAGGCTAGTGTTGTTATACGTCGACATTTCAATACATTGCTAACCACCGTCTATTTTTATAAAAAAAAAAAACACGTGTGGCACTCGGTGACTGCCGCGGTAAAGCTATCGCATAGCATTTTTTTTTCAACTTATGCAATTATAATAATTTAATATTAAAACAATAATAAAATAAGACCACGCTATTTTTTAAACATTAACAAAAGCAAAACATTAACTGTCCCCTTCACACTCATAAGCTAGACCGCGCGAGAGAGAGATGGGCAGACTTTTCATGATGCGCATGCAGTGAGACGTCACGCCGCGCGCTTATTCACAAACACTACACAAGCACAACGTGTGAATGTGTTGAACGTGGTAGGCGGGGGGGGGGGGTAGGTTTTATTTTCGTTACGTAATTTCTTGATTCGGTCGCCACACTCAACGCCCGCAATAAAAGCTATGTATTAGCTTAGAAAAAAAGTTTTACATTTCTTTCATCTATATATAAAATGGGCTATGTTCGCTGTATCGGCTGTATAAACTATGGTGCGAATAAAACCAATTCCGGGAAACATGCAATATGAAATGTAACTCTTTCGTCTTGACACGACGTGAAAACATTAGAAAATTTAATACAAAAGGTGTTCCAAAAATAAACTACAACATAATTAATATTTACTCGCGCCAGTGAATTTGTCACGTAATTACACACGACAAGGGGCAATTATGTAAGGCACTGTTTCATTGTTAGATATTAGATGCAGCTGTATAGCGATGTACGATTCCGAGAATTTCAAATCGATTATACATATGTATATGTTACGGTAAATGTAAACTCTTGGGAAATGTACACTTTTACGGGTAAATGTGCACATTTGCCAAAAAGTTAGGTATATGTGACTGAATATAATATATATGTACATTTCCCGGCAAATGTGTACTCTTGCCTTCACCTTTTGGTAAACGTATACTCTTACCTTCATGTTTTAAGAAAAGTTATAGTAAATAGAAATAAATTAATAATGTTGTTGCAGTAAAAAAATATTTATTTAAATAAACATAATGCAAAAGGTTTTAATAACGAAAATTATTTTAATTAAATGTAAATGACAAACAAAACATACTTTTCTTTGCATATATATATATATATATATATAATATAACGTAGGTAAGGTTAAGTTAGGTTGTAGTGGTGCGTATGCGCATGCGCACTGGCACTTGCGATTTCGTATTTTGTATGACATGCTCACATTTACCAAAACGACATGGTCATTGTGAATTCAATGTACATTTCCCTTCTTTGAAATGGTAAATGTTAGTTGAATGCACATTACCCAAACGAGGAGACAAATGTGCACATTTACCGGAAAATGTGTACATTTGCCGCAATATCTACTTTTACCGTAACATATATTATATGTAGGCGCAAATATGACTATTTACCTACTTATTATAAAAATAATAATGATTGAATGTGATAATCGGATCATCTGATCATCAACTAATTACTATGTGTTTATTACGATGAGATATTGATGTTAAACAGTCCCTTTTATTGTAATTTCAATACTTTAAAAACGTGTAAGCACGCTCACGTGTACCAAGCCCTATAAATACGGCCGTACTGTCTGGCGCTTGGTCCACTTCGATAAAGCGACACGACACGAGAACCCTCTCATCGTGGCCGCCGGTAACTACATTCCCGATCCTGCGGAAAGAATGGAAAGCAGTCGACGTCGCCCCAAACACGTCATTTCGGATCCTCCCGATCCACTAACGGTGCTTTTAGGTACCTCAAGCACCGTTCATCGTTCTCGTCGAACTAGTCGCTTGCGACGTAGGGCTCGACGAGTAAATTAACCCACAGATACAGCCCACAGAGTTTCTCGCCGGATCTTCTCAGTAGGTCACGTTTCCGATCCGGTGGTAGATTCTGCGAAGCACGGCTCTTGCTAGGGTTCGTGTTAGCAACGTCCTCAGGTTTGAGCCCCGTGAGCTCACCTACTAGTTAAGGTTCCGCTGATATAGCCTCTCAAGGCTATCAGCTTAGGTAGGAAAAAAAAAAGCCCTTGGTCATTCGTGTCCGAGCCGTAGTACAGTACGGATCTCTCTGGAACGTTGTTACGCTCCTCGTGAAATATACACAGCTCACCAAGTTCTCGTGAAGTTTTATTTCGGAAGCCCAAACATGAGTCATCGTCAAGAAAGTAATGACTATGACGTCAGCAATGCCGCAATGCTGACGTCACACTTTTTAAAGATATTCCGTCAGCGTCATCTCCTCCGTCATATATTATATTGTATTTAAATCATCTCGATAGTTCTCGATAGGACAACCACCACCCTGCCTTTTCAACCGTGAAGTCGTAATGCGTCTAATCGCTAAGAGCGATCTCTTCCAGACAACCATAAGGTGGACAAGATGCTGATCCTGCTGAAAATATTGAAGTTGAGCTCGAGATCTATGAGCTGAAAACCTTAGAATTATTGGAAAGGATTGACAGAATTCCCTGCTGATAGTCTTAATATTGTGTCTATAAGTGACTTAAATCACTCGCTAGCTCTCCATGCACGTTTGCCTCCATGAATGGCCAAAAAAAACATCTATAGCATCGCTCTGTTTGTGTTACGATTCATTAAATTTTAACGGTGTAGTAAACAAAGACCTGTATGCGCAAACACTGATTAATTATTCTACTGGTTACACCTCACTCATTACGCAGGTTAAAACATTTAACAAGTACCCGGGGAAGATCTTGCTCGGTAGACCGACTGGCGTGTCGCTTTCCTGGAATACACGAGATTTCTTGAATTTATTTTTGTACGAGTCATATGAAGTAAAATTTTGTACATACAGGGCGTTGCGTAATACATAGTATTTTTGATGCCAAAATAATCTGATATAAACGAAAAAAGATCGACCGATTATCTGTTGAAGGTCGAGGAAGTCCGCTGCATGGAAGCAGTGCAGGTCAGGTCGTGGTTGCGAGCCTTGAAGGAGGCCTATGTTTGGCAGCGATTTTTAAATAGATAGAAAGAGAAGAAAGGAAAATTTTCGTAAAAAAAATATGTTTTTTTTATGGCTGGACGAGCTCACAGCCTACCTGGTGTTATGTGGTTACTGGAGCCCATAGGCATCTACAACGTAAATGTGTCACCCACCTTGAGATATAAGTTCTAAGGTCTCAGTATAGTTACAACGGCTGCCCCACACTTCAAACCGAAACGCATTATAGCTTCACGGCAGAAACA